ACTTTGGGCATTTGGTAAGTGAAGGTCGATAGGGTTATGTACTATGTAGGGGTTTGGAATGATAATTTGTGTTTGATTTTCAATGATTTTCAGGTTAGATCATGTTAAATGCTAGGTTTTCTACTATTATTTGTTATTGTTTACTATGTTTTTTTTGTTTTATTGTTACTACTAATTTTCTATGTATGTACTATAAGTAATTATTCTTATCTATTTTTTTACTATACAGGTACAGTCATTTTCAGGAGATGTCTTGTATCTTTCATGTATTTTTCTTTATACCCCGATCTATGAGGGGTGGGGGGACTAATAACGATAAAAACATCCGATATACAAGCGGATGGTCCCAGGTTCAATCCTTAGCAGCCATAAAGTTAATTTTTTATGTCATATTGGAAAGTCCACGTTCATCAACACACTTTACTAAAGCTTCGTTTCTTTCACATTAGAAACCGGGTTTCGATACACGTGGTTGGCAGAGCACAGATAGCCCATTGTGTAGCTTTGTGCTTAATTACAAACAAACAATCATCACGCTATTAACAACCTGATTGTTATATGGATAAGCATCATGGAATATAATTCAGTCGTTATTAATGTATCTAGCGTCTATATGCAAAGAAAAGCCTAAAACTATGGTTTTTATCATTAAATGAAGATATAGCTTAAAGATGCTTTGCGGCCTTTACGGCATAACCAGGTTTCATTCGCCTGGGCCTCTGGGCGGTTGCCCTCTTTGCCCCCCTATCGGCGGGCCTGAACGCAGGTATGTCTGCGGACTTACAACGCTAGAAACTGGGTATCGAAACCTGAGGTGGGCAGAGCAATGATAGCCTCTTGGAAAGCTTTGCACTTAACTACAAACAAATTTTCTCAGAACTGTTATGCTGTGCCTAAATACAAAACAACAAAATATGACGCTAATGTGCGAGCTTTTCACTCACTAGAACTTTTTTTTTATCCTTATTAATTGTCTTGTATTTATCAATGATGTTATGTAAGTGAAACGAAAAGAAAAGAAAAAACAAACAAATCACTTTTGCACACCAGGGATCGAAGATGGTAACTGCTAAGTGCAATACGAATACGATAACGTCAAAGAAAGTTAATAACAAATCAAAAAGAGAAAAAACGTTAGCCAGAATGCAAAGTAAGTATCAATAAGACAATATAAAAAACACTATTTCGTTTATGATAGTTTAGGGATTGACCTTCTATTCACCTATTTCTAATGTATTTTTAACTCGAGTTTACCAGTATCACCGATACATCAAATTACCTCGATGTCGAAACATTAGTTTGTGTAAAATCTCTGAAAGTTTTACTAAAAGCTAACAACTAAGTGTATTCTACACTAAACATTAAAAGATGCAATAAGTGCAGTATTATACAAAAATATACGTAAAAAAGGCAGGATGAAGCCTATTTTGCACACCTTTTAGAGTAATAAAGCAGAAACAAGGCTTTGTTGGACCTATTTCAAGAATAACATGCCAGGAAACAGTCTACGTTGAACATCTTTAAGAGTAATATAACAGAAACAATGCCTTGTTGAACGCCTTCAAGAGAAATATGGCAGAAACAATGCCTTGTTGAACGCCTTCAAGAGAAATATGGCAGAAACAATGCCTTGTTGAACGCCTTCAAGAGAAATATGGCAGAAATAAGGTCTTGTTGAACGCCTTCGAGAGAAATATGGCAGATATAAGGCCTTGTTCAAAATCTTTAAAAGTAACATGCCAGGAAAAAGTAGGCACGCCACAGATAGCCTATTATTTAGCTTTGTGCTTAACTACAAATAGGCAAACAAACAAAAGAATAATATTTATTTTTGGCTTAAGTAAATTTACAATGTAGATACAGTAACGATCGATTGTAGTGCCATCTGTTATTATAAAACAAGAGCTCAGAAAGCAAAATTTTCAAATTTTAATCTTATTCCTGTTGGGCTATCTTATACTGACAA